TTCTTGTTTCCATTGTTTCAAATTTTGTTTTGTCAATCTCTGTAAAAAATACATGTAATATAACACATGTAGCTTTTCATTCGGTCAATCCATAGATATAACGACTTCACAGAAAAGCATATCGACCACGCACTTCGTGCTCGGTCGATATGCTTTTCTGTGAAGTCTAGATATCTGTGGATCGACAAATGAAAGAGTTACATGTATATTTACATAATTACTGAACGATATTTACGAGTTATGTAGAATGATGCCCGGTTTCCAAACTTGATCATAAGGAAAATGAATTAGGGTTATGTTATCGTATTCAACCGGATCCCAGCAAAGTTTCGGATCTGTCCAGTTCTGCAAAATAGGAAATCAAAATTATTATACAACTATTTACCACGATAAATTAATGCGCAGGCTTTCTGATATATCACTGACAGCTGCTTTTCAATAGAAAGGGAACTTGTAAATTTACTCACCTTGACATTTGCAAAATTACATTGTTTAACCATTCTAATTGTACACACAACTACTCTGAAGTTGATTAGAACAGTTTCAGACACGGGGTAAGTTATTGAGAGGCAAGTTTATGAAGCAAGGATATCTGCATTCTAATTTAAAGTCATCATTTCGTGAGTTCTATAAAGGTTATGGTATACAATGACCTTGTCCAAAAACAATTTATTTTTTAAGTCAAATGCTGATTGACTTTCTTATACTGATTTTAAAGCCATTATTTACACACTGAGTTTTCCATGGATTTTTTTTAGCTATTTTTAGATCTTACGGAGCACACAGGGGGGGGGGGGGGGTGAACAGTAGGCAGGGGATGCTCACTCCTCCTTGGCACCCTTATCTCACCCCACTTCTGATGTATCGGGGTTCCATGTTTGCTCTGATCCTATTTTATGTTGTTTAATGTACGTTTGTTGTTTCAATAAATTCCATACAAAGATAATTATACATGTACATACATTAACATAAAGGATGCAGGGTACTTCATTGTCATCTTGCGATAACATGATAGAATATGTTTATGGAAAAACACATGTTCAGCATGAAACTGGACTCAGAGCAAGGTTAAGCCGGATTCATTTTTGATTTATAATAAGTACATGATTGAATGTATTAAAAACTGTGGAATCAGTTTAATTCGCAGAGGTCAATGTTCGTGGATAAGCAAACTTTTACTTTTCATAGGGACTTAGATTCGTGGGTTTCTCGTAAATACGAAGGTTAATTAATCAATACGGTAACAAAATAAACGTTCGAGGGGATGTAAATTCGTGGGTAAGGGTGACCCTCGAAAACCATAAACATTGGTCCCCAACGAACAATGATGATTCTACAGTAATATACTTCCCATTTGGAGCCATGCACTGGTAGTTAGCAACTGGTTTCGTTCGTCCTGTATTAAAAATAAAAAAAATAAAATAACAAATGAATTTAAAAACTGTTTTTTTTTTCATGAATGTGAACGGGAAAAAATGTTACAGTTAATACAAGGTTCTTTTTTTTCTTATAATTCTGACAAAAAGTAATGAAGTGGCATTGACTTTAACTGTCTGAGACTTTCTAAGGCCCCAGAAGTCAAAGAATGCTAACGTCTTTTTTTAGTTTCTTTTAAACATTCTACAGTTTTGTTGATATACAGATGGTTTTAAATAAATTTTAATTCGGTAGAGAATGGGTTTGCTTTAGATAAGTTCTCAAAAAAAAAATAAAAATCCTTGTATCAACCCTATCTTCAAATTCTGTGTTCTCATTGTCATGATCGAAAAAAAAACGAAGAAATCCGTCGACAATTTATTTCATACTAAAAGAGAGTATACCTTGTGTCCTATAATAACATCTTTGAAATTCAAAACTAAAATAGCAGAAAAGACGGATTAATATAGTCTGAAATTGTAATGAGAAGAATGAGGGATCTGGTTAGGGCTGAATATATTATATCTGTAAAAAATGAAAATATGCTTGTGTTATCCCGACTTGGTTTTGATGCTATTTAGGGAAGCTTTTTAGAATATATATATATAATTTTGTGACATCATTAACGTTATTATTATACCACGTCTATAATCCCAGTTAGAGTAACCATCAGCAGCACGTCTAGCCGGTCCCTGTGGTTGTTGGACGGTCGAATGCTTTTGCTGTAGTTCCCCATTAGATCTCTTTCTAACCGTATTTCATTCTCGTCACAGGAAACAAAACTGAAAACTGTAATTAACGAATTAATGTTAAATACGATAAAAAAAATTAAGTGCTTGCATAAAATTAAAATAGGATTCTTCTCATATTTCTTGATTTATAAATTAACGAAAGAACTTTATTCATTAATAACCAATATTTGCCCCCAAAATTCAAACTTTGACAGAGAAATATTTAATTATGTTCTTAATTAGGGGAATATAAGCTGACTTCAAAACGCTGAATATTTTCATTAGCAAAGGCGTTATATGTTTGAAATGACGTCATGAAAATGGCGTCAATTAAAATTTTTAATGATTTTTACAGAAAAATGTATATTTTACGTCGATATTTTGAGTAAAAGTCACCGAACGCAGATCTGATCAGGCTCAATATTTTGATATTATGTGTAGAATGATAATATCAATGAAATATGTAAATATTGTTCATGAGCAAACTTGAGCACTATAAATTTGTCAATTTCAACAAAGAGTATCATTTTAAATTACAATTGAAAATAGAAGATATAAGTAAAACAAAATCTAGCTTCTTTTACAAAATCTTAATATATAACAAGTCCGAAAAGCCTATCATGGAAAGTTTTTGGGAAAAGGAATTTAGCGATATAAACCCACTGCGTTGGCAAAAAATATATGATGAAAAAATTGTAAAAATTAATGATAAAAATATTGCCGAGTTCAATTTTAAACTACTGCACAATATGTTACCAAATAACTTGTATCTTAGTAAATGGAATAAAAATATTGAAAAATATTGCTCTCATTGTCAAGAAATAGAAAATACTAAACATATGCTTTTTGACTGTACACTTATAGAAAATATTTGGAAACGAGTGTCTGTTGTACTTAATGTTAATATTGTTTGGAAACATCTTGTATTGGGTTTTAGTTACTATGGAAACCAAACAAGCACAGTTTTGAATAATGTTTCTTTCATAGCATTTAAAATTTTTAAATATAAGATGAAATGTAAAATGTTAGAAGAAGATATAACAAGCGATGGGCTTAATTTATTTTTGAAGTTATCGCTTGCTAAATTTTACCTTGTTAATCGGCAAGCACAAACTATCAAATTTGATTATTGTATGCTAAAAACTCTGTCTGAAGATTTGTAAATTATTATTATAATTATTTTTTTTATTCATCACTCACTACAAGATTACCCAGTAATCTTGTATTTCGGAGGTAAATTTATGATATGGACTCTGTGGTGTGTAAGGATTGTACCTCCGAATTTGTGAGTGGTCCATCATCTTATTATATGATATATAAAAAAAAAATCATCATATATATTATAGTAAGAATGTATGAAGTAACTATGAGTACGAGACACAATCCATATATATTACTATATGAATACCTTTAATAATATTTTTGAATATTCTTTGTATTTATATACACATATATGTTTTAAATTTCCAATCCAGGGGGCCCCTGGCACCCAAGGTGAGGAATATACGGAGGACCTCTTAGGAGGTATTGCCTCAAAACTTGATTTGTATTTTTGTTGAATAAAAAATCTGAAACAGAAAAAAAAAGAAAAATAAAAACAACTCTCATTGTCTCCTGTCTCTTGATAAATATCACACATAAATTTTGGATGAAACATTGTAAACATTACCTAGAAAATTGTAATTCTTTGAGAATCTTCAGCTAAAGAGAGGTAACTATCAAAGTGCAGAAAAATCATCACATGACCTTGTTGCTTTGTGTCATTTCTTTTACATTGCTGGTAGTTGCAGGTTAATGTTTATTTTGCATATTAACTGTAATATTTTATTGATGTGTCCTTAATATATGTGAAGTATTATTTAATAAAATAACAGTTTAAAAAAAAAAGTCTGCATAGCTTTAGACTAAAGATATCCACGTCTCTTAAATCTGTAAATTACTTTGGCATTCTGAGTCCAAAATCTTCCGTGTATCGTTATCATCTGGCATGACACGTGCGTAAAGTTTAATTGCTGAAATATTGAAAGATTATTTAAAGATCCATTAAAATAGAATTTTTCTGAATCCAGACATCATATTTGCTTTAATTGAAATGTTTTAAAATCATTTAGTGAACTGAGACCAAGAATTGCTGTAGACTTCGACAAGTAACTTAAATATATCTTCAATGCATCATCATTTACATGTAACAATAATTCAAATTAAAGTAACCTTACAAAAATGTTTAAATAAACTGATATTATATTTTTCCGTCAACTTTGCTTATATATCTAGCAATATACCCTTATCAATATTCTATAGATATTGTCTGATCTTTAAATGGGCTTCAACAAGAAGCGTTAGAGGACAGACAATGAATTGATGAATAAACACTTTAAAGAAATGTTTTGCAGGGCAACACATTTTAAAAAGTCCATGGAATCTGCAATAACACAGTGGATCCGCGACATCAGACATATTATTCAATCTGCGATTCTAGAGCAAAGGCTTTAACCACTATGCTAAAGGAAGCCTCTGTAGAATTATCAAATAGTGAGAGTACAGATTTGAATTCAAAACTTCTAGCAAATATCAAATGACATCACTTAGAGTGAAACTCTCTTTTCGTGTGTTCCCTTTCTCTCTTTCTCTCTCTTCTTCTTTCCTTTCTTTTATTTTTTCGATTTTTTGAAAAAATCGTTTTGAAAATATGCTTATAAGGCTAATGAGCCACATAAAAGGAAAATCAAACTTGACATTCGATTTAACACAGAAATATTTACTTGAAATGTTCTGAAGAATGTGCATTGAACATATATGTATATATGTGCAAGTAAAGAAAAATGAATACATCTTGCATCTTAGTAGCTTAAATGAAAATATTTACTGTCTTGGCATTAAATATCAAGTCTGCGTCTACCATGTCTAAAGAAACATGCAAAACAAATGACTTGGGTTACTTTCTATAAATAAAACATAATTATGGACATAACGAATAGTATTTAATATCAAAAGTCCATTAAACAATACAAAAAAAAGAGCAGAGCAAACAAGGACCTCAAAAACATCAGAGGTTGTATCAGGTGTCATGGAGGAGTAAGAATCCCCTGCCGACCAGTCACACCTGCCATATGCATGTGCTCCTTGTCATTTTCGGGAAATAAAGGAAAAATTCGTCATCAATTCAGTGTATAATTATTAACAATTAGTATGAAAAACAAATGAAAAAAGTCAGCAAGAATTTGACAATGATAAATTGCATTTGCTGGCAAGTGCATTGCATTGACCATAGAACTTCCGAAATGATGACTTAAAACGAGACAGCTGATCTACTACGGAATTAAAAATATAGTCTCTGAGAGAAAATTGGATGAATTCTTAAGCTAAAGTTAACAGGCAGGAGGTGAAGCCAAACAATTGCTCTAGCCACAAGTCAAACCGAAAAAAAAAATGCCTTAAGTAATCCTGTAAGTAATTTTGGCTTAGATTGGGACATCGACTTTGATGTAAAATAAAGACATCGTCAAACAACCATAGATTATTAAGAAAATAACGAGGAACAATCTGTCGAGGACGCAGGCTAGCTCTCGCCATTCGCGTTTAAGAGTCTCGGAACCTTCTTCTGCCTTGTGACGTATATGATTTTCTTGAATAATACTTTTCAGAATCAACTGCAACCTTTCTTCAGTTCTTTCATCAGGGGAGTGGTGTTCTGCTCCAGTTTTTTGTGTTTCATTGAAGCAATGTCCGAGAAAAACTTCTCCTGTTTCCTCTGGTCTGTAGTCTTGTCCTTCCTAAAATGATAATCACCAAAATTGCACACTGCTGTTTCTGCAGAAAAATGGAACAGTCAAGAATTTAAAATGCGATATGTATGATGGACAATTTTTTTTTCTCATTAAAGAAACTATTTTGTATTATTTGATTATACCAACAGTTTTGTTTATGTGGTTTTAAAGAATTGGTAGAATATCGCAATTTTCGGAGATTTTGAGTCAGAAACCCACTATTTTAACGTAGATCCCACGCTGTGTGATTCCATACTAGTCTTTAATGGAAATGAATTTTAGAATAAATTAGCTATTCGATACACAAGAGCATGCTCTACGTATGAACAATTTCTAAAACGAGGTAAATTATTGACAAGCAAGTTGATGAAACAAAAATATCATCAGTCGATACAATGACCTTGTCAGCAAATACAATTTATCATTGAGTAAAATACTGACTGACGTTTGTCATACTAATTGTTAGTCCCTTATTTATACACTGAAGTGAAGACAAATTTTTCTGTTATTTCCGGATCATGACAAGGAGCACACGGCGGTTGTGATCGGTCGACAGGGGATGCTCACTCCTCCATGGCACCTGATCCCACCTCTGATGTTTTGGAGGTCCTAGTTTGCTCTGCTCCTGTTTTGTATTGTTTGAACTTTGAAATTGAATAATGTTTGTTATCTCCATATACTTCTACTGAAAATAGACTGACGCTAAGAAGGCCAAATATGCATGTTAATCTCGTGCGGCTGCCTTTGAGATTGACGATAGTGGCCGAGGACTATTGAAATGGGCTTGAGAGTCCCCGTGTAATTTTACTCTATGTCTGCATAGAATCTAAATCTACGATTCTATTTCCCAATGAAATAGAAATATATGGAGTCACTGTCTAGTTTGAAAAGTATGCCTGGGACGATAGTTGGGAACCTGGGATAAGTTGTATATACAGTGTAACGGGCGAAGCTCCTTATGCAAATTATCCCATGTTTCCCAATATCGTTGATGCCCTAGCAACTATACTAACTGGACAATGATTCCTTAAACCTTCATTTGACTAATATCAATATAAAGAATATCTTGATGATATGTTTGTATAAAAGAAAGTGTGTTCATTTCTAAAAATATCTTATATGGAATGCTGTGTATTTATTTTCATAATTACTTGTAAATTATTCATATCTGTTATATATTTACTTTTTGCTTAAAAATCAAATGTTATTGATAAATATTCTGAAAATAAATCTACAAATATACTTTTACAACGAGCAGTGACTATTACAGTTTTACACAAGAACAATGGTCGGAAGCTCTTTTACGATATACGAATCTCTCATACTTTTGCATATATAATTTAATCATTTTTCGAAATCATTTAGATTTGTTCATCAAGATTTTAAAATTTGAAAACACTGGCTCTAATACTTTTGGTAAATATCTACAAATTTAGGATTGCACGAGGGTTGATCCAAAAGTAATGTCACAATGTCCATATCTTTCATATTTGCCGTCATATGATCAAATACAATTTACCAAAAGATGCACAAATACAAATCTAATTAACATTGAAATTTTCATTTAATGATGTTTATTTGAATTTATTCTATAGATGTTTAAAATTTAAAGCATATGGGTGTTGTCGCCGCGTCAAATCTGAACATCACGTTTTAAAGTGTACGAACACTTTTTAGTGTGACAAACACTAAAACGATACAAAAACAGGACCTAATCTCCCATTTAAAAAAAAAAGACACAATGCACGTCATTTTCTAGACTTTAATTGGAAATTTAAAGACGCCATTCGTATTTGTGTTCATAAACAGTGTCGTTTTACTCTGTTGCATTGAACAAAGGAATTGTCGAAATGAGAAAAAAACTCGACGATTTGTAATGCATTTTTGCATCAAAATATGGGAATCATCACAATAAAAGAGACTTCTTTATGGATAGTTTCATCAATTTTTGGAGGGTGATGAGTCATTGAATGATCAGCAGAGGACAAGGAGACTGAAAGATGGTTGGACGGACGGAAACGTTCAATGGTGTCTGACGTTGTCAAAAAAGACAGACAGGTAAGTGGACATGAGAATTTTCAAGTTTTTCTTATGCTACTGCTCAAAAAATTTTGACAGAGGGCTAAATTATGAAAAGAGTGAATGTATAATGGTACCAAGAATTCTTCAAGAAAGATATTGCTGAAAGTGTTTGCGATTCACATATATTTTTTAATGAAAAGAAGGGGAAACGCTTAAAAACATGACGATGTGTATCCGTCATTTGACGTTATAGTTAGGTGCGGCGACAACCATAAACGCACATTGTTTAAAATTCAATATTTTGGAAAGTATACATCATATTCCTTTGAATTTTTCAAGTCTTATTTGAAATGAATATATAATATCGTTATTTTACGTCGATTTATAGCAATTTTATCGAAGTTGTGACATTACTTCTGGACCAACCCTCGTAGGTTGCCTACAAAATCCTTTTAAAATATAGAGTGTGTTTCTGTAATTATTGAAATTTGCATTTAATCTTTATGTAAAATTACAACAAGTTTTCTTGAATTCTAAGCTATATAAATTTCACGAATTCCTTTTAATTCTTTGAAATGACAAATTAAAGATATAGTGAAGTGATTTCATAGGTTCCAATGACTTCGTTAAAACTCAGTTTAAACTGAGTAAGTATTTCTGTGATTTTATATATCCTCCTTATGATCATATACCCCCAAAATTGCTGAAAACATTTGTCGCAATGTATAATCTTCATTCGAATCTGGATTGATTTAAATAAATTAAATAAATTTCACAAACATGCAACATGAAATATATGGAGATAACGAAAAGTATTCAAACTGAAAGGCCTATAAAACAGTACAAAATAAGATCACAGCAAACAATGACCTTCAAAACATCAGTGGGATCAGGTGCCATGGAGGAGTGGGCATCCTCTGCCGACCGGTGACACTCACCGTGAGCTCCTTGTCAAGATCAGAAAATAAAGAACAAGTTGCTGTCCTTTAAAAAAGGACTGCAATACGTGGACCATACGCATGTTTTTTCTAACTGAAATTCAATTAAGAAAATTTTTAGGTGTAGGGATTATTCATATAGGATTATTCACATTTTCTACAATGATCTGCCTACTTATAACTGATTGTAGTCTCAAAGCAAAATTGTGAAATTTTATCTCCGATAAGCGACCTTTAGTTTTGTCAGTTTAAAAAATCGGGTTATTTTGGTACGTGTAACTCATACTGACTTGGACTTGACATCTGTTCTGCATCTATACGGAAGAAATTTATGATGAAAAATAGAGATCTGATGGTTTACGAGAAGCACAGCCCTGTAGTACGCAGATTTTTTTTTGTCAGACCCCCCCCCCCCCCACACACACATTTAAAACCGTTGTTACAGACCTTTATCAAACGATATTTTGTTTGCTGAAACACTAAATTAATTTGCGAGCCTTGATGCACAAAACTAATGCCGGCAAATACTTGCTCTATCTTTTAAAAGCTATCTATATTCGTTGAATGACGTTTTTCTTTCAGATGTTAAGTTACATGTATCTATATACTGTATACAATGAACCCTCAGATATCCAGACGCCAGATATCCGGATGCTTCAGTATCCGGACGATTTTTCATCGGAACGAAATTTTTAAATGTTATTTTGTCTTGTTTAACTGGTGATTCAGATATCTGGATGCTTCATATATCCGGACAAATTGACTGGGAACCAAAGTGTCCGGATAAATGAGGGTCCACTGTAACTTATCAAAATGCTTGTACCATAGAATTAATGTTTAGTTTGTATATAAAAGTATATGTAACAGAGAGAAAATCAGATCTGCCAATGAATATGTAAATGCGATTTGTAGAATTAAAAGTGCGATTTGCCGATGAATGGTATATTTTAATTCAAATAGGGCGAATTATTCCAAGGGCAAGTTACCTAAGGTGCGAACTTTCTGGCACTGTAGCGCATGCGTAGCCTGTCGTTTGCCCAGGTCATCCAGTTTAACCTCGCTTATATATTTACTGCGTGGACCTCAGGGTCCACGCAAAAAATCCGTGTGTAAATAATGGTATAAAAATAAGTATGAAAAACGCCAGTCGGCACTTGGCTCAGTGATAAATTGTATTTGCTGACACGGTCATTGTATCGACCGTAGATCATACGAAATGATGACTTTGAAACAACTTTCCCTACCGGTCCCCAGAAAAACTCACTAAAATGTAATGTCGCCGCAGTCGACTTCAGTATATATGGGATCGTCTGAGCGATCGAAAAAAAAATTATAATACGAAGTTTTCGGTCTTTTTGACCCCAAAATCTTAAAACTTCTTTTTTTAACGAAGTTTTAAACGTCGTTCTCTGAAAAGATTGATAATATTGTTTATTCATGGTAAAAATCGACTAAGAATTGTTCTGAACGAAGCGTGTGTGGCGCATGTTTAGAGTCATTTCTTTCGGATTCATGCAAACAAACCAACAAAATTCTGTTCAAGCTGATCTTGCAAAAATCACAGAAGCAACCAAATTTCTTAACTTGTCTGAAAGAACAAGTCACTAACCCTAATTTCGCGGATGGTATGCAAGGACTAACAGGGTTAGACGAAATGTCCCGGTGCAGATGCACCTCATCTCTCAAGTGTGTGTAAGACTAACCCTAATCAGTCGAATAGTGTGCAAGTTTAACCCTTATCAGTTGATTGACGTAAATGTTACGTCAGGACGACCTTTTAATCTCAAATTATGTAGGTACTAAAGTCATGATTAGTCATATTGATATGGGAGCATCTTCAGGAAGTGTAAATTCAGATTCGTTTAAATTATGATCCCCGGGGACTGGAAGGGCCACAAAGTTGGATCAAATTTTTACAATGGTATATACAGGAAATAAATCTTTAAAAGTCTTCTGCTCAAGAACAGCAAAGCCATTTGTTTGTTGATATTGGTGCATCTAAAGGTACTTTTGAAGTTAAGTCCCCTTTCCCCCACCTTGAAATCCTTTTGATACTACAATTTTTATGATTTTTCCATGCCAGTGTGATCAGGTGAGCGAGGTGACCAATGGGCTTCTTGTTCTCAATGACCCTATCCCTAGTGCATGCTATAATTATACCTGGACATCCGGATCCTTTTGCCCTGGTTCTTTTACAGAGATAGAGGCACAGAGAAGTCGGGAGATGAATCCAAAGCATATTCTTTTAAGAATGATTGGAACTTGATGGCCACTGTCTCCATAGTGATAGACGTTCAGAGTAACTGCATTAATGCTTATGGAAAGGGAGATAAGCAAGGTTGATATCCCATAATATAAACCTAAAAGTGGAATAGTGAGACTGTTCAAAAGATGTTGATAATGTATTTTTCAATAAAGCGTGTTACATACAATGTCTTTTTTTTAAAGGCAATAAAGACAAAAATGTGTAAGAGAGAGAGGGGGGGGGAGGGAGAGAGATTCTTAGCCTTCAACAAAACATATACTACAATCGAAAAGCGTCTTCAAAGCAAAATGTTTTGAAAAAAATAGAGTTCAGACTTACTTTAATCTAATTAAAAGGAGTAAGGAGGAGAAAGCATTCCTTGTTTAGACTTACTTATGAGAGGAATTGCATCTGACACTGGAGGGAGGCTATCGGCCACAACCATTTGTAAAACAACCATAGACAATAAAGTAGTTAGTCCAATGGATATTTTCTCCTCCGATCCATGGACGAAGAATCCAATAAGTGATATGATTATAAGTAAAACTGTCGGCATCAATATATTGAACAAATAGTAAAGAGGTTTACGCTTTAAAACTACCGTGTATCTTATGAAAAGAAACGGATGAGTCCATTCGGCATATTTCAATGTGTAGTTATCAATACTATATTTTATGAGATCAAACTCCAAATTTGGGTAATATCGATTTAGATCTGTGTCTGGGTTGTCAGGAATGATATTAATTTCACTGTTGTCAAATGACCAAGATCCAAAAACAAGGAAACATTCTTGCACATCGAATGGAAAATATCGAATATCCATTAAACAGGTGCTTTTAAATATCCACCGTGACCACCATATTGCTTGTCCCTTATAATTAATAGGGATATTTGTACTGCTTGAGGATCCCGTGCTTGATTCAATCCTGAAAAAAAATATATGTTTATTTTTTTGTTATTTATTGAAGACTATGTGGTAAAACTCATTAGAAAAACATTGACTCCATAAAATGTCAAATAAAAATCATTAACCACTAAATGTTCAAATGATGGCTTGCATGTTGAGTCTGATTCATTAAAAATATATCCGCAACAGTAGATGGTAGTTGTAGACTTACGAATTATACAAAATGATATCCGGTAGACTTACGAGTTATACATAATGATATCCGGTGGACTTACGAGTTATACATAATGATATCCGGTAGACTTACGAGTTATACATAATGATATCCGGTAGACTTACGAGTTATACATAATGATATCCGGTAGACTTACGAGTTATACATAATGATATCCGGTAGACTTACGAGTTATGCATAATGATATCCGGTAGACTTACGAGTTATACATAATGATATCCGGCTTCCAGATCTGATCATGTTTAAGATGGATAAGTTGAACGTCATCGTATTCTTCGGGATTCCAACTTAGATTAATATCTGTCCAATTCTATGAATGATAAACAAATGTCATAAAAAATGCTTTAAGTTCAAATATAACGACCATTGCTATATTGTGTAGCAACACTTCTTTTAATGTTTTCTAATGTGTAGTGTAAAAGAAAAAAGGTAAATACAATTAATTTAACCCCATGATTTAATATGACCTACATATACATTATGTGTACAGTATAACTAAACGCATGATAATAATAATGATTGGATTTATAATATATAGCGCCTTTCTAGCATGAATGCTACCCAAAGCGCTTTACAATCATTATTCCCCAGCAGACCATAACACCCCAGAGTCTTTCTCAGTGAAAGCTGCCGTTAAGGCGCTAGAACACTAACATTAATATTCTGACAATATCTTTCACTGTCTATAGCCAGGTACCCATTTTACACTTGGGTGGAGTGAGGAAATTCGTGTAAAGCGCCTTTCCCAAGGAAAAGGCATTTATGTCGACTTGCCGCAGCCGGGATTCGAACTCACAACCTTTCGGTTTTAAGTCCGGCACCTTAATCACTAGATTAATTGATTGATTGTATACTGTTTAACGCCCCTCTCCAGAATATTTCACTGATATGGAGACGTCACCATTGCCGGTGAAGGGCTGCAAATTTAGGCCTATGCTCGGCACTTACGGCCTTTGAGCAGGGAGGGATTTTTATCGTGCCACACCTGCTGTGAAACGGGGCCTCGGTTTATACGGTCTTATCCGAAGGACCGTCCCATTTAGTCGCCTTTTACGACAAGCAGGGGGTACTGAGGACCTATTCTAACCCGGATCCCCACGGGGTCCTTAACCACTAGACTTCCGACGCATACCTGTCCATTCATCATCGTTAACGAATGTAGTACTCACCATCTGAAACCAGCAGCTGAACGTTAGCAGTTGATTCTGTTCGTCCTTTGTGGAAATGAAAAAAAGGATAATTAGGTTACTTATAGATGAAGTGATCGAATTTCTATTTTTATGGAATTTTATCATTAGGAGTATAAACTGGTAAAGTGCATGATTGTTCCCTCTTGTTTTAATGTTTGTTTGTCAAGCTTTCTCTCTAATTTACCTATCTATTTACCGGTCAACAAAGAATCCTCTAAAGTCTAAATAGATTTGAAAGTTTACAAAAAGATATCTTGAAATAAGAAAGAAACAGAAGGTATTTGGAATCAGTTTGTATCGACGCTCGATCTGATTGAAAATTTAGAAAACGGAGAAAAATGAAAGGTCATTAAATATTTAAACCATTTTAGTCATTTAAACAGTTATCTTATTGAATTGTGACTGCCATCAAAGCAACTTTGACTCCCTTCCTCGATGTTACACATTTTAAGGCATATACCATTTCCTATTTCTAAAGCAAAATTACGCATAAATCGTTTCCCCGCAAGTACACATTTTCCACGCACTTTTAAAAGTAAGTTCAATCTTCAATTAAATAACCAATTTCCTTCTATTTTATGCTTGATTAAATCTCTTAAAAGAAAAAAAAGTTATGATCTTGTTAAAATATAACGTCATAGTATTATTTACTCAAAACTTTAGAGAAACTTGAGCCACTCTATAAAATATGCTTGCGGGGAAAGGGTAACCTTATATACTGTATATTTCCATTACGAAAACATTAAGTGTATGCTGCATTGCATTTTAGTTCTAAAAAATACTTGCTTATAAATCACACGGAACACTTAGCCATTAATTTAGAAGATAAAATACGGTGTGCATCTTTAAGATTTAAGATATGCAGTCTTCGGAAATTGGCGAGTTTTCAAACTTGTTTATAGCGTTTTTTGATGATAAATATTTCTGTACGAATTACAGTGGTAAACCCATCTGTAATATCTTAATGAACATCTTGTGAGTGCTCTGTTACATATCTCTGATGTTATATGTTACTTGTTACATATTTAAAGTTTTAATTCTCCTACCAGCTGTGAGGTATGCACAATATCCCTCGATGAAAAGGGGGCCTAATATTAAAACGTGTCTTATTTAAGACTTCATGCACTTTATAATAAACTCAGCCTTTAAACGTGATCAGCTGTTTAGTTTTATGATATTTGAAGCTGATAATCTATCAAACTTCGCTTCGATTCTCTAAAAGTTAAAAAAAAAACATTTAAGTATATTTAAGTTTTTTTTTCAAAGTGCTTAAGGTCACCCATGTGGTCAGTGGTTAGAGTGTCCCCTCTATATTTTCAAAGAAAAAAAAATCTTACGTCGGCTCGAATCCCACCGTGGGACATGGAGACCGGTCCTTATGATGAGAACGTATAAACCGAGGTCCCGTGTTACATTAGGTGCTGGCACGAAAAAGATCCCTCCCTGTGCAATGGTCCTAAGTGCCGAGTATAGGACATAATTTATAGCTCTTCGCCGGCAAGTGGTGGCGTCTCCATATGAGTGAAAGATTACTTCTCGGGAGGTACTTTAAACAATATACAATCAATCCAAAGTACTATTGTGGTTTCATCTTAATACTATCTGACATTTATCTTACAAAACAATATTCTATATATTATCTTTCCACGTTCTAAAAACCTATTTAAGTGCCGACAATTACTTTTGATAACTGTCACTATTGTTCCATCTTTCGTGCAGAAATATAATCAAAGTACTAAAAGTATTCGTCGGTGTTGAACATTGGAGATTCAGATACAAGATGCCAAAGTGTTTTTCTTTATATACATTTCATTTCATATTGTAGATTGATTATTTTGGGAAGATTTTTTTTTTAATCTTTCTAAGAAATACCATTATCAATAATAATTCAATTCTGTCGACAATGTATGTGAATGTAAATGTAAGAAAATGTATATAAAAATGTACAGTACTAACTATAAGAAGGTGTAAAGCGCTCTGTCAGTAGTAAAGTTTACACAGACTAAACTTTTCAGCATTTTCAAAAATTTATCAATATGATCAGTATCGGCCTGCTAGGCAGTCGGAAAGAACACAAACGTTTAATTTTGTAAGTAGAAAAACTACATAATTCACTTGTTTACTCAACGAGGCTTGCTCCTGAGCGTTTGGGCAAATTTGTAACTTAAGTGTATCTTATATTTCAAAACTTTTCATAATGTTTTAATTCGTACAACAAATTTGGATTCTACAATACCAATTTAAATACATTCAGTTAAAACACCAGGATTAAATGCCTTACAAGAAGCATTATCTGAGAAAAGTTATTTTGTGGCGGAAGGTTTTTTTTTAAATGATAATTTTTTTCTCTTTCAGAGTACGTGTTTTTAAAGTATGACAATTTTAGATTCTCAATGTAGCCAAAACGATAAAATGATCATAAACATCAACGCCCGTCGTTTACAGTGTTACACGTTACGCAATTTCAAACCCCAATAATAGTATAGTTACATCTATGTATAGTTTTGTAGTTACTTTAATTCTACAGTTACATTACTTAAGTCATGTAGTACTTACTATAGCCCGGCATTTACCTAAATGCTGTATTGACTATAATTCTGTGTTTGCTTTTTAAGATACTAAGTTACCCTATTTCTGTAGAATACTGATTGTGTATTCAACTTACCACGTTAACAATACCGATTAAATACACTGCCAGGAAAACGTCTACACGATCTCTATGATTCCGGGTCGGTCGGATGCTTGTGCTGTAGTTTCTCATCAGATCTTGTTCCAACCGCATCTCATTTTCATCACAAGAAACAAATGTGACAACTGTACGTGAAAATTGATAGGATAACATTATTAATTGTATGTCTAAGATTTCTAAAGATAACATTATGATTACATGGATGAAGGATATGTTTTGGTCGCAAAATGATCTCTTAATACATTTATATTCTTAACAGTATGTTACATTTATCAAAAGACGCTAAATATTGAAACTAAAAACAAAGTAATGTAACTTACTAATGGCGGAAATGAAGATATGAAGAAGCCGCATGTTCCCCTCAAAAGAAAAGAAGGAAAATATCATTACAATCCTAGAGTGTGACTTAGCAAACAAAAATGGAATTAAATGAAAAGTATCATTCTCTGGGAATTCTTCGCTTTGAATAAAAAAAATAATGATAATGTATAGATATAATGAACAGTAATCGATTTTAATGGAAACGGATGACCCTAGACAAAATTAAGACTTTGTATCAATCTATTGATTCAAAATAATAAAATCTTTGATATACAAAAGTGTGAACTATATTACCAAGGGACCTCGGTTTAGACAAATTCATATGAAGGTCAATTGCAAGTTTTCAGGTCTTACATTGATTTAATCCCGCTACATATAAGGAACACCTATCTCCTCCATCGCAGTTGATTTCACTTTGGATGTTTTGGAGTACCATGCTTGCTCGCTCCTATTTTGTATTGTTCTATATACTTTGAGCTTGAATGCTGTTCGTAATCTCAATATATTTCATTCTGTGACTATAAAGCAGACGTTTTTTCATCTGCACCTCGTAGATGACGACATTGAATGCTAATACAATTTTGCTGCCATCTCGAATATTACCTCGCGTCTTTCATAATAATTTTGAGGCCGTTATTTTCTAACTGTTTTTTTTTTTTTTTATAATTCTTTCTTAACAATGCGTAAAAAGGAGAACAACGCGGGTGTTACTGATTGACAACGTGGGGGATGGGTGTTAACTCATGCATGGCATGTGATCCCATCCCCATTTCAGAGATTGATTTGACTGTTGCTGCCTAGTTTTTTTATGTTATATAATTAGTTTTTGTTTATTTATATATTTCTTGGTTATGCAAATTTGACTTGCCTAGATTTTGTAAAGTTTTACTTTCTTTCTATAAAAATTTCTTGTCCATTCGGCTTTGATGGCACACCTTACATAAAATATTTTTGTGTAGTTATTGAAATTATGAGCATGCGGTATCCCGTCGGCATACATTTCCTTATCTAATAGATTTCCAGGAATCTTTTTAACTTGGTTTTCTCATAAAAAAAAATTGCCATTAATACACAAACACACACACAAACACACACACTCAAAGATTTTAAATATTTCTTGCTTGTTGATTTTATCATGAGACAATCTTTTCATGTTGTTTGTCTAGTTTCAGTGGTCTATTTTTACAAAATTGTATTAAAAACAACGATTTGATATGAGAACATGTGAATATTATTACATACTTTTATTATCAGAGAACATACACGTTTAAGACAAGACACAATATTTCTCAAAAAGAAAGAAAGTTTACCTGTATTCTTTTTTTTATTATTATATTAATGTATCCCTTGACCCTATTCACGCTCCCTCCTTCACCTAACCACCCTTAAAATATGACATCAATTCAAGAAATCAAATAATTTTTATCAGGAACAACAATGAAAACAGCCGTTTTCATATTGAAAAAAATATTCTAGGGACGAAGCATATATTTTGATTCTTATCACCCTTGAAAGAAAAAAAATTAGTATGTACTCGTATCTAAATGTATTGTTTTTTTTTTCATCAGGGAGCTTCGATACCTTTAATTTCAATTTTTTAATCTTCTCAAAAATAAAATATAAATGAAATGTTTGTCAATGTACGTCAATACACTGTAAACATTTTAGTTTTCTTAAACTGAGTCAAATTAATGGACACTTTATCTTACCTGATATTTAAAAAATATGGAAATATGAATAAAAGAACCTACCTGCCCTGACGTACTTCTAATCAAAACAAAACTACACAAGAACCCTGATCGGTACGGAACAGGCTGTAATCATCTCTCGTACATATATATATAAAACACACAGATTCAGCATTGCTTTTTTTCGTTACCTATAGATTGCCACTTTTCCGAAGGATTAAGAATAATAGTAATAATTTGTGGAAATGCAAGGATATGTAAATCAGACCCATCCAAAAATTTGAAGTTTCAATACCTTTAAGATGAAATAAATCTTTAAATATATTTTTGTGTAATGCTATTAAAATGTATAATTTGTGATATTATGCAGGAAATATTAAACTCAAATCTGTGTTTCCATGCACCTTTAAAATAATAAAAAAAAACTTTGGGTAATTAAGTGTTTAACATTTGTAAAAAAAAGTAAAAGTCAGTAATAACGAACAGTAATCCGTCTCAAAGCATCTATACAACAATACAAATATCTCTAACAAAAAAAAAATATAGTAAACAATAGTTAATGATGCCGACTGCGTGGTACAGTGGTTAAAGCGTCTGCTCTAGAGTCGTCGCGAAGTAAGGCTTTGACCCTTATGTCGCAGGTTCGAATCCCATTATGCAACGTGGAGACCAGTCCTTAGAAAATATAAACCGAGAAGCCCTTCACTGGTATAAGGTGACTTTCCTACATAAGCAAATTAAAATTCTAGGATGGGACGTAAAACAGCATTCAATCAATCAATCTTTAAAATGTACCATCCAATATTTTATGTATACACAGTCATGACAGGGGCTCACAATAAGTGCAACCGGTCAACAGGGGATGCTTATTCCTCCATGGCACCTCATTCGATCATTTTTCAGAGGTAGTGATCGCCTTGCTCAAAATTGTTTAAGTTATATTTTTGGGGCATGAATACTGTTGCTCATCTCCGTAGTTCTTTCATAATTGATTTTAATTACAACGAGTTCAGTTAGAAATTGCCTCGAAACGCCATCAACAAATATATGCAATAGTTTTTTATACACTTCTTTTAGTATAATTAAACAATTAATGATAAAGGACTTTAATTTATCTTTCTTAGACAGGCGTTAAGCAGGTTTTACTTGATAGATATATAATTCACTGAGGTATCATATAACATGTTTATCAAAGCTAAAATCAGTATCATCTTATGATACCTTTTCTCTGATTAATTTTCAGGCAAGTATTTAGGATACTGAATTTTATCTTTCAACTTTTCTCCAAAGCAGAAATGTTTTAATCAATATTGCACGTGATATTACAAGGAATAAAATTTAATTCTGTCATAATGTTTAAATAACATGAGATTAAATGATAAAGGCGGCATAAATAAAGAAAATCGTAACTTTATGAAATGGTTGTACTTACCCTTAGCAGAGAAATGTTTTGCAAAGTCTAGCATAGTAAAATCTGACTTTATCAAACTAAATATTATTACTGTTTATACCTGGAAATGGCTATGTAAACATCAATAGATTATGTTACAGCTGATCAAATGAAGGTATTTATCGTCTACATAATTCAATTCCACATCTTGATTTATTGTGCATTACATGAAAATGAGTAGATATATGTAATGTTACAAAGCATTACTGATAGCGACGTCTTTCTTGGTTAAATAGATTTATCATAAGCACAAAAAATTCTCTCTTATTGAAAAAAATACGAAAATGATCCCTCGCTGCTCAATGGACATGAGTGTCGAGAATAGAACAAAAATTGCAGCTCTCCACCGGTAAGTGGTGGCCTCTCACTATAAGTGAAAAATTCTAGAGAGGCAAGTTTCTCGTAAACAAACAAACATGTTAATAATGACAAAACGTTTTATTTCATTTTATATCATTATATAATCTGTCAAGGATCTGAAACCATTAGGACAAACTCTTGGAAAGTTGTTTTACTCCAAAATATTTATTTCTAAATAAATGCTACGCACAAAGCACATAAATTAATAAATAATATTAAGCTCTAAAATGTCAGCCAAGAAAATAAAATATCCAAAATTTCTATGAAAAACTATATGTCCCTTGTTATAGAAAAACATGGTTTAGGAAGTTGAACGAGTTATATACAAAGTTTAAGGGACTCCGACCCTCAGCTAGGAAGGACAACTCTTTAATTTATAATTTAATTCAAAAAGTATTTAAATGAAGCTTGAAAATTAATTCTTTTCATGCAACACTTTTCATTGTATGCCTCTCAATGTGCTTCAAGGTTCTTTGAACTTCTCAGAAAGGTCTAATTAAAAGTAGAAATTTTTATCCCGAAAAAACATTTTTAGATACCAATGTTCATTAACATGATATGAAATTAGAAGTGATCTATGGATCTTTGCAAAGAACCTTGAAGCACATTGGGAGACATATAATGAAAATTGTTGCATGAAAAGAATTAATTTTCAAGCTTCATTTAAAGACTTTTTGAATTAAAGTATAAATTAAAGAGTTGTCCTTCCTAGCTGAAGGTCGGTGTCCCTTAAAGATTTTATATAATACTGTAAGTACGTGAAACTATATATACATATTACCGTCTTTTTTGCTGCATTGTAAGGTTGATGAAAACTTCTTAGTTTTTCACGAGCATTACTAGAAAAAAATTTACTGCATGCTATAGGACACGAAATAAATTTGTAAATGTTTTAATATATTATGATGATCAATGTCAAAAAGTTTTTAAACATATATATATTTCTAATTATGCGTCTTCCTTCTTAGATTCATTTTCTTTCACAGAATGTTCAATCAAACTGAATTTTATATAAAAAGGTGAAGATTGACATGAAAAAAACAGTGATTGATTAAAACAGCTAAAACAATACAAATCTGTGAAGAGGGCAAACAATGGGCCCCTGGAAATACCAGAGGTGGACCTGATACCTACAAAGACTAAGCATCCACTGTCGACAGGCACAAAGGTCACACTCGCACTGACTCAAATGAATTATCAAGGATACAGCAATACAACCAAAAACCTTTCAAGATTATTTTTGTAACAATTTCATAATAAGGTATTCTACTGTGTTTTTCTATCAATTTTTAAATACATTTTTAATAACCATAACTAACTAAACCTATTGTACGTGTAGCAATAAATACATATGTATGATTTCATATACCCTTTGCATGTACCCCATCACAGCCTTTGGCTATTTGAAATTTCAGATATTCATATTGTCAAAATAGTCTAATTCTTTCCATTCTTTAGATATCATAGATTTTTTTTTAGAAAATCTTAATTGATTTAAAAATGAAAATCCATTTGTCAATGAAACAGTGACTTTAGAACAGTTTCTTTTATGATTCTCATTAAAATATGTGCCTGTTTGATGCTTAAGTCCAAAAGTTAAGCTCATTTGAATATTTGTGTTAGACCATAATTTACTCAATATCACAGGGTTCTCCATCATTTGAAATTTTACTGTGTTGCAGAGTATACTGTTTCCGATCAAATTCGCCTGAATAACCAACGAATACATCACACACCAAAATTTGCATGATTACATATGAATAAAATTATTTCGAATTAAAAAAATCTACTTGAAAAATTAAAACAATTTATTAACACCAATTATATGACTTCGGTACTATGGTTATAGTTATGTTTTACTTACCACATTACCATCATAATTCTAGAGCCTCGGACCTATAGAAAAGACATTGTCTAAAAAACGTACAATGTATTTGTAATCTATATGTTTCATACAATGTGAAAACAAATTAAGTGCGTAAAGTCCGGCGACGGTCTAGGAGATAATTGATAATGCAAGGTGAAGCCCTAATTAAGTGTTCTACCTGTAATAATTGAAGACGATGGGTTGTTTGATTAAAGTTTCAATTAGATAGAATCTATGTGTTTGATTTTCTAATTATCACAGATCTTACTGTGTCGGCAAAATTTTTACTGTGTGCATTAAATTTGAATCGTTATTAAACTCAGTATCATATGCTATGTAAGTGCTTTATATTCATTAAAACATTGCATTGTGATCTTTTGAAAAAATACCCCACAATAAATATTTAAATCACACGTTCATTCAAGATGTCGACCCTAGCAGAGGATTTTCTGGGTGCACAAAGTAAACCCTGAATACCCAAGTCCAGCCATTTAAAACCTGAAAAAAATATGACAAGGATCTAAAAATAAATCAGGTTATGTTATGTTACCAAATTCAAGAAAAGAAAGTACAGGTAAGATATGCAATCCATTTATGTCAATTATTGTGAAATATTTATATCTCTTCATATAATTTTCAGTGTACTTTCAATATTACACGGCATTATAGTAATCATTGCATGTTTGCTGCATGTGAATGTCGTTGGGTGTAGCCTTGTTTTAAACTAAAGCAAGCTGTGTGTAATAAATGTACAATAAATCTTTAACAAAATCTTTTATTAAGATTGTTTGCATTGTGTTACTTGAAATGCACAGGGAGGTGGTGGGGTTCATTTGGTGAAAACATTTAAAAATTAAAAAAGGTTTCATAAATAACATTTATTCTTTTTTAATCAGAAGATTAATAATGTATTTTAATTAAATACATATATAAAGTATAGATTTGTTTCATTATAACCATTCAAATAGAGCAGCTTCATTACATCCTTTGATCCGCACATAAATACCACTTGTCAGACGGTCCACAAGAGTGGATCAAAGAATCGTATTTACCAGACTCATTTATTTTTTTTAAAGCTGCCCAGTTTCACGATTTGTTTTCTTATCATCAAGTTCTCTTGTTATATTCCTGATTTTATCTGAAGAAGTTTTCTTTTTAAAATTTGTTTTTCGGAAGGTATTTGAAATTAATACTCTTATCTGTGTTATGTGACACTTCGCGAAGGAATCCTTCGGCGGGGTAAATGAGATATTTTGATTTAGTGTATACATGTATATATGTTTATATGATTGATAAAAGTTTGAAACAAATTACATTTTATATATAGATTTAAGACAATCACCATGATGTTTAGAACTGTCTGTGGATGTTACCTATCTTTGCTTTTACAACTTATGACCTTGACGAATTTATGTGAGGGAGTATTTAAAAATATGCACTTCCTTCCTGTGTTTGGCGGAGAAGGACTGGGCGATTACTGTGAAAGCACTTTGCATAATTTCAACTGCAGTGTTGGCGTAAGTATTTTATCAACATGTTTATTACCCTATCATTGAAGATCGAGGGTAAGGTTTTGATTGATTGATTGTTTATAGTTTAACATCCCTCTTGAAATTTTTTCACTCATATGGAGACGCCACTTCATGCCAGTGGAGAGCTGCAAATTTTGTACTATACTCGGCATTCAGGGCCCTTGAGCACGGAGGGATCTTTTTTATGCCAGTACCTACTGCGACACAGTACCTCTGTTGGCACCTGATCCCACCTCTGATGTTTCAGAGGTCCGTGTTTGCTCTGCTCTTATTTTGTATATTGTTTAATGGACGTTGAGATTGAATACTGTTCGTTATCTCCATATCCTTCTTATACGGTCTTATCCGAATGACCAGTCTATATGTCTCACAGTGGGATTCAAACCCACGATGTTAGGATCAACTACTTATTTCGCGAGGTAAGGTTTTGTCAGTTTTTCTATCATTTAACTGTTTGTACGTCAAACAAAACTTGCCCTTAACTTTTAATTGGATAGAGCTTTAATATTCAGGAGTGCATTCCTTGTAACAAGTCCATTTTTGGACAAACATATATGACCCTTTGACTGTGGCATGTGATCGATTAGTGCTAGGGCTTCCTTACTTCACATTTGTATTCTTGCAACAAGACGTTCATTGGCCATATATTTTGGCTAAATAACCCTGGCCATTGTGTTTTGCTTACTTTAATAAAAAAAGAACTTTTACCATAATTTTGAAAATTTGATGCTAGAACTTTCATATTTCATAGATGCATTCTTTGTTAATAGATATTACACATGTAGTTGTGCAACAACATTTTCATCTCTTTGCATTTGAGAACTTCGCCATGAGCCTATAAAGGATCGATAATGTTGAAAAACACATCTTGTTTTCCTTGTTATTAAACATATTTTAATAGCAAAGTCTATGCATTCATAATACAAAAAAAATATTTATTGTTTAAAACAAAACAAATGTTCTATTTTGTCATAGCTTGACTTCTTCCTGCAAGTTTGTATGATAAATGATTGTAAGAATGAAACTCATTTCACCACTTTTTTAAGTCTAAAGGATCCATGCATAATATTCTAATAACTGAAATATTTATGCATTGACAGATTTATTTGAAAATGATTCAAAAAAATCAAAAATATACATTAACTTGTAGATAAAAAAGAAAACATTAAGTCATAAATACATGTACGAATGTATGTTGAACATGTTGGATATTTGGTACATGTACTTCAAAAGATCATGATATGTATTAAAAAGATATGTTAACAGTGATTCTCTCGCAGTGCAGCCTATGGCGAAAGTTTAATTTTCTTAATGCATGTTAAATTCCAAGATATATTCTAAAATATTGTTTTTGAAAGAAAAGACTTATTTCAATGAAGTACCTGTGAAAATATGAAAACCCACGAACCAGGGTTAAAATTTGATAAACCTTTGCAAAAATGTGTCAACTCGATGGTCAAGAAAAAAAGGTAAAAATATATTGATACCAAAAGAAAGGATTTGTAACAAGGAATACATGTACACATGTGAAATGCAGCTTGAATAAAAAAAAATAAGGACAAGGTTAAAGTTTCTGCAGATAAAATGACAGACGGACGGAAAAGGGCAAAAATTATAAACACAGAAATCCTCATTTATAGGGGCATAACAAAAGAAACAAACACGAAATAAATAAACGAACGAAAATCAACATAGATTACGATTATTAGAATTGATTTTCCTTTTTCTACTTTTACTAACAGAAATAAATATAAACATTAAAATGTATTCATTTATTGCTGGTAGGGAAATTAACATTGCAGCCATTACAGAAAAAACATAACCCTCTTACATAATCTTATGCGGGAAAGGCATATATATTCATCAAGATCTGTAATAGCCGCAGAAAAATTCATAATGCATTACATATTATATATTCTATTTTTAGCCCAAAAAAGGCATAGAGGGAGATACTGCACTTGATTGCAAAATGAAAAGACAGAAAGGTATAATATATATCTTCATCTATCTTCATTTCTTATTTTACGTAAGTAATTAATAAGCACTTCTGGTCAAAATGTGACGATCATTTAAGTTGTTGATGTTGATTTTTGTTTGTTTGTTTGTTTTTTTTTCTAAGTTTGTCTAGCTAAACTTTTAAAAAATTTATATTTATGTTAATGACAACATTTTTTCAGATGGCTTTAAAATTCCACCAATTATGAGAAAACTATCTATTTTTTGGAGACCTAATTATGTTAGTTTTATTTAAACATTAAATATGAACATGTTTTTATTAACTTTATTCTTTATTTTTATATCATATATAACTTACATTGACTTCAGTGTATATGCCAAGTTTAGGGAAAATCCACAGTCCAGGTATATTTAAGGGACCGTCTCAAAATGCAGTTACATTTACTATAGTATTATATATTATGAAATTGCCAATTTTTCGCACTTAAAAGCAAGTCATACAAATACTACAATAGACGTTTTCTTAAAAGTTCTAGTATATAATGAATAATACTTTATATTGTACCGGTATATGATATGTGTAGATCATGTCAGTCAGCAGCTCTTAGGTTCATTATTAGACATCAAGACACAAGTCAATGGTGATTTGACCAATATTTAATGATAGAAATAATATACAGTGGAGCCTCATGTGGGACAGGATTTTTGATATTTTCACGAGTGCGAAGCACGAGTGAAAATACAAAAAAAAAAATCCTGTTTCACGAGTAAAATAAATTCCATATTCAACTACAAAACATTAAATTTTCTGTTTCTTAGATTTAAAAAAAAAAACTTTGATTTTTCCTTTGCTTTTGTCTTTTTGTAATACAGTCATAGGCTCTTGACGTCCTAGTTGAGCTGTTGAAACATCATAGCTATATTAGGTGATTTTAACTGTAAACATGGATTTAACAACATATTTTTGGTAATTTTGACAGTTTTATTCGCTGTCAGAATGGTTTATTTATTTCTATCTATCTTATATTAGGTCAAGGAAGATTTTTTATTACATCAATCTTCGTTTTGGGAAGGAAAATCGAAAGTTTTCCCGCACTTCTGATATTCGTCACACTGTGACAGGATATCATTTTGATATCCTTTCACACTGTGACAGGATATCATTTTTATTCAATGAATAAATTTCAGTATTTCACGGGTAAAATGTAATAAAAACCTGAAATAAATTCATTATAATGAATAAACATTTTCAAATCCTTACTGACTTTACTTTCAATTACAAATATAATAAGAAATATTTTAACTGGGCAGACTTTATGAATCAGCTACCATAATTTGTCCTCAAGTACAGTGTTATGATTTTTTTAAAAAATAAAGTTAAGATATGTCACTGGTCAGCTTTGTTGAAAACCTCTTACTTCAAAACTATTTATTATAATTTAATTTTTATGACATATTTAAATTCAACTATGTAAAATGTTCAACATTCAATGGAAAAAAACTGCCCAAAAACCACAAAGAAGCATTAGATTTTTGAGGGACTATTTCTTCTGGTGAAAGGATATTTAGCAGCTAAAAAATTCTACAAATCTGCACATTAATTAAATTTAATATCTTGGAACTTTAGTCTTGCTACTTTGACTCAGAGAATATCTTCCGCTATGATATGCTAGAAATCTAATATAAGTCTCAATATATATATTTTGAACAAATTTTTCACCTTCCCTCGGCAAATTTGCTGAGAAATGAAGATCTTTTAAAGTAGTCAAGATGAAATATACACCTTTTCTATCATGAAAATCACTTCTTTTGACCAACATCTCAAAATAAACATCTCTAAACCCCACTATTTCTTTCATTATTTTAAACTACTCAATACTTTGATTGATCAGCACTAAGGTCGTAAAAAAATTTATACAAGATTTTTAATAGTCAAGACATGTTACTTTATAGTGCATAAAGGTCACACAATAATTTACGCGCATTAATTTGCAAGATTTGTTCAATAAAAAATATTACTCAATCTATTTTACGTAAAATAAGATTATATTTTTTGCCATGGTTACACCTGATAATGATAACCTTTATCACATATGATAAAGGTTATAGTAATTAACCAAAGAGTTAAATTTAAGTGCAAAAAGGACACTTTAATCGTACCGTAGCTCAATTAGATGCACACTGACCCCCTATTTTCTCTGCGATTTTGAGTTAAACTATATGAGAATTTATCGAAAATATACTTCTCTAATTTCCTTGATTCCTGGAGAAAAATGCTGACTGACGTTTTTCATACTAATTGTTAGTCAATTATTTATTCACTGAATTGACGACTGATTATTCAGTTATTTTCCGATCATGACAAGAAAAGAAGCACACGGCGGGTGTTACCGATCAGCAGGGGATGCTCACTCCTCCATGACACATGGTCCATGAGAAGGAATATCTGAGAGAATCAGCGATTCATCTGTCATCAATAAAATAAAAAGTCATTATTAATGCAAGGGAAGGGGAAAACCTCAGATTTTTAATCTGATGTTTTAATACAGTCGAAAGTTGCTTAACATTTATATTGTATGCAATTCCATTTTCAGATCCAGGTGGAATTTCATTGACGTTTAGCAGTAACAACCAATCGATGGCCGGTGATTATGAGTTTGATACACAATATAGACTGCTTGACTTTTCTAAATACACTTATTCCAGCTCTGATAGTGATAAAAATTATCAGGTAAATTATTGTAAATATTTCATTTCTTTATTCATCTTTGAATATTTTTGCTGAGATATATATTTAGCTCTGTCCAATTCATTCAAGTTTGATTCTTTGTTAAAAGGATATTTCCTCCCTTTCACTACGGTTTCACTGCGGTAGATTAGCATTTTTTCGCGACATTAGGAAATATCATGACACGTCAGTCAAAGATGGCAATAATTTGAAACAATCGTTAAAAGTATCCCAGTTTCTTTTTTTAAAAAAAATTGTAGACAATATAGGTCACCAGGATAATTTATGTAATCCTTTACAGAGAAATTTGAGTTTCCCTTGTTTTATGGGATTCCGACATGAACCGTGCTTATCTGCTGAATACAAAGTGTACTCTGCTTCCATCACATCAGAATCGAGCTTATCCATGTTAAACACAAGTTTTGAAGAAATAGCGTGTTCACAAAGTACTTACAATATCACGTCGTATAACGTTTCTGGTATGTATAATTTCTTCCTATGTAAAGTCCGGTGTTGTTGACTTCTCAAACTTTAATGTAAAAACTTAAAGTTAAAAAAACATTTTGGTTCCTGTATTTATCTTAGCTGTTGGTTTTGAAAGAAGGTGGTAAAAAGTATTTTGTATGCATTTTTTTATTTAAAATCTATCAAGCAATGCAAAGAATGACATGTTGCCATGTGGGTGTTTCTCGTGCTTGTTCTTGCCTTTTGAATATTTCATTTGCTGCAATGGTCAATATGATAGCTATTTTTTTCAGTTAACTTTAAAGATTCATGGAAATCCACGATAGCTGTTGCTTTCTCTCCTTGGGAAAAAGACGTCTCATTTGTGTTTGACCCTGTTCCTGATGCTGTAACATTCCAAATGTACAACGTTTCGCTAATTGATGCATATAATAACACATTGTATAGGAATCAGCGTATTTTCAAGGAACAACCAACTCAGAATGTCTTTCTGGACGTAGAGGATGGAATTTATTATATATTAGTAGGTCAATATGCAGGGAAAACTTGAATAAGACAACACTGTACAAACAACAAACTTGATGAGGACAATTTACTTAGAAATTATAGCAGTTTTCTCTGAAACATTGAATAGTATTAGAATTCAGGAAATAATGGTATAAACATGATGAAATTTGACTTATCAAATAAAATTTCTGTTTTGTAGATAGAGGTGAATACTACAGATGATAACTGTCCAATGAGTTGTAGATACACAAGGTCTCACAGTTTCATAGTTGGAAATTTTCAACCATTACAAGTTAGAGGTACATGCATACATAAATCCAAAACTTATTAATTTATCTTCTCAAATCTTTTACCTGAATTTTAACTCTTAAAGAATATTTATAAAATTAATGTTCATTTGATAATCACAAATAATTTAACTGAAGTCTTTAAATTAACACGTAAATAATAAAAAAGTAAGCTTGTATTAATATTATCTGGATATCTAAATGCGTGATACACGTATCAGGCAATGCATGTACTGTTAGTCGATATGTTTGCAATGTATACATCATTAAGTAAAAATAAAATCTAGTTGACTGCCGTCATGAGAAAAGGGCCCTTAAGGTCAAATTTTCATAAAATGATTTTTTGGTGAATTTTCATAGCCGGACTTTTTCTGAATGCAAATATGCATAAATTTTTAAAATATCTCATTTTTTCAGTATTTTATGAGCATTTTAGTGAGGCGGTCCAAAAACAACTCACTGAAAACGTAATGACGTCGCATGCGTCTAATTCATTTTTCAGAAATTCTTAAAATTACGTTACATGTGAATTTAAATAACCTTAATCGTTTTGAGAATTTAAAACTTGAGAAAGTATTTTTTTTTCCAAGCGACCAGTATGTAACTATTCCTAAGTAATTTCGTATATAATTATTATTTTTATACTATTTAAGAGCAGATCTAGTTATTTCGTAAAAGGGGGGGGGGGGTTCTAGACAGAATCTAGGAATAGTTTACACATGTAACATAATCAGTAGGGAAATAATATTTGTTTAAATCCATACAAATTATTCTTTTTATATAATAATAAAAACAATCTAATTCAATTTATAAAATATATAAAGCACTCGGAAAATAAAAGATTAAAGGAAATATATACAGAGAGAGAATCCCATGCAGAATGGCACCGTGCGCAAAACGGGGCACCCCCTTGCAAAAAGCACATAGATCCCGATATTAAAAAAATTCATATGAGTCAGCATTCACTCACCAACACATACGCACGTAACTTTATTCCCTATAACTGTTACGATAGGATGAAAAACACCATGTATTTTCTATATCATCGAAAAATTCAATTGGAAAATAAATTCAGATATGCCAAGATATATAAACTTTGAAAACGTTTATTCCGTTTATAAAAACTCATGAATAAAAAAAAAATACTATACGTTCGCTACTTCCATGCAAGCTGATTTCAAAACTTTAGTTTTTGAATATTTTATTTAAAATATTTAAAGCTCTAAGGTTCCATTGTTTAAAAAAAAATCATTTTTTCGCATGTCTTAATTATGGAGTAGAAACATAGTTAGTAGGCAAACACTAGTAATGCCTAGGTCACATTTCCCGGCCGGTAGCCGTAGACCGGTGGTAATCGGTAGTAATCCAAGGTGTTAACGATGTCTCAAAATCGTTCCACACCGGCCATGTAGTCCTTAAAGTATCAGTCACATAATCCAGCGATGGGTATACGACGGACAACCAATGCGTTTTATGAGAAAAATGGCGTGGTTCCCGGCCGGACTTACAAAGGCCCAGCGATGCATTGCTAATCATAAAACGATTTTCCAGGATAATCGGCCGATGTATGTTACATCGCTCATACATTGGTGAACATTGTTCGTAAATCGGTCGACTACGGTCGAACATCGACCGATGATCGGTCGTTATCTGTTGAACACCACTAAACTCTTCGATGACCTCAGATTCAACGGATATTGGCCGATGCTCGGCCATACATCGGCCGATCCTTAAAAGATGTTTTAATGGTGGGTTGCCGATGAGGAGCGATGTAAGGCATCTTTGGAGACATCGCTGAATTTTAACTAAGAATTATTTCCTACCGATGACCCCACCGATTCGCAAAATGGCCTCAGTCACCGTCCGATCACTAGTGGTGCCCGGCCGGCAACCACGCCATTTTCATCAAAAAACGCATCGGTTCCTCATCGTAAACCCCATCGTTGGATAATGTGACTTATACTTAAAGGATTTTCATATAAATGGTTTATATACTGTACCTTAAGTTGAAACTTTCTTTGAATTTATATCTCAAATTAAACCGTCTTTTAACTTAAGGACCCTCTCTACACAAGTACAAACTTTTTTTGGACATTGAGAAAAATATATTGTATTAAGGAGTTATTATTGAGGTTATCTATTTAATTTTCAATGTATGGTGCGTGGCATTTACACCCGGGAAAACTGTTTAAAGACAGCACAATTTTAGTAAATAGAAATCATTGTTAATTACTTCAATAGTAAAAAATACATGTTAATAAAACGTTCAGTTAATTTATCTTGACCTTTTAAAATGTTAAGAAACACTTGAATTGATTACACATTGAGTAATATATTGTAAATTGCAATTTTTTAGAATTTAGATCTAAGGGCAGATCATTCTAACTGCAGAAAAATACCTTAGAATCATAACTCTTTAGTGTGCAGTGTAGAGAGGGTTCTTAAGTATACCACAATTAAAATCGTTTACAAATTTTTCCGCACCTTATCATTTTTTTTTAATTTTGTGGCACCTGTACCCTGTTTAACTTGAACACAACATTTGTATATTTTTTTCCAAAGGCCGCTACTATGATCTGAAAAAAATGATTTATGTATATTGTATGATATAATCAAAAGGGATGGTGAATTGTGCTTGACTTTTCTTAGCTGCAGATCTGTAACGTTATGGTTTCACATATTTGTCTTTGACCATGGTCAAAGACAAATATGTAAAAACATAATGCTACAGATTTGTAGCTAGACTTTTCTGTGCGAAATTAAAGTTCCATTAAAATTTTGACGAAATCTATTTGAAACTGAAACTGAATAAATACTAATATATTTTTACGCAAGAACGACAGGCCCGTAGGAATCCATAGGTGTGTTTGTATGTGCAGGGGGGGAGCTATATTTTTTTTCAGTTGTGGGTACTTTCAACCACCAAATACTAGTATTCCTTGACAAGCAAAAAAATCTTTCAAGCGTCCATGAAAGGTTATATATTCATTTTTTCATCCGTAACTATATGGCTAATTAACTTGACACCTTATAGTTTTTTCACATTTCGATGCGATTAACTTATCAACTAATGAAATATTACGTCCAGCACACGTTCATGCTTTTTGTATAAGACGATCCTTTTCATTAAGTAATAATATACCGCTCTAATTTGACTCCCTTTCGCTTAAAACATTTATGCGAACCATTGTTTTCCTAGTTATTACTTCAAAACATACCAAACATATAAAAAAAAACCCACACATTTGACTCGTATCGTCTCCTATCCCCACGCACTCATTTGAAAATAATGGGGGGGGGCAGCCAGAAAAGAAATAAATTTATCTTTAAAAAACTACTCAACCAAAAAAGGGGGAGGGGGTTATCGAAACTCGAATCCAATTTCGCCGTTGGGGAGGGGGGGTAGGTTCAATCTTCCTTCAGTATCAAATTTTTAAATCTAACATAACACACTGCCTTATTCATTTGAAGTGCACGAATTTGACTATGCCGCAACAAAAAGTGTGTATGTGTGTGTGTGGAGGGGGCGGACTTTCAATGTAGCTTCCCCCGTTGCTACTTGCGTGGACTGTAATGGCCAATATTTTCTTTAAAAGTAGAAATATTTGTGTTTGTTTATTAATTCTTTTCCGTAGAGTCATGTTACATGTAGGATTATGATATACTAGTAAAGTCTTAGCTCGATTTTAACGAAACGTAAAGAAATTAATGTCGATAGAGATATGCGGGGTATTTTGATACATGTATTAGATTTGAAGATTTCAACGCCGAACGTGACATATATATTTCAAATCATTTTCATAACTTTTGAAAAGTACACTCACAACCACTTGTAACTTATACTTTTTGCTCTATCTATAGAAATGTATTCTTAATACATGTACCCATATACATCTGACATTAGCCAGAAATTCGTACGTCTTTTCGCTTACTGTAATCTATATATATATTTTCTTTTGGTTTATAAATACCCCCGGTATCCTCATTCAAAATATCACTGTCGATACAATATTGTTAATTCCAACAACATTGGGTATAATGCTTTTGGGAGAAGTCTACCATAGCTGTATTTAATTTCTTAACAAATTGCAATACAGGTTCGAGTGGGATTTCATTCAATCATTTCATCGGAATAATTTTAGAAATTTGAAAACAATAGTAATTTTTATCATACAATGCCTTTGAATGTAGTTATTTGATCATTTTAAATTTGGTTTTCCAAATATTTTTAGCCAAATTTTTGTAGCATCCCCATCCTCCGTATCCCCCCTTTCCCTTTCCCCTTTTTTCCCTTAGCATGTTTTATTACTGTTAATTTATAAAAAAAAATATTGTTGATGTAGAAGGTCTCCCAGTATTTTTATTCAATCAAAAAGGGATTATGTTTTTACCTTGAACTTTAACCGGTCTTTTAATTCGGAGGTTATTTTGGCTTGTCTACTTACCCCCCCCCCCTTTTTTTTTATTACACACTTTAAAATCGACAGTTCACCGAAGGCTGGCTATCGGGGTACATCAGTAAGATTAACTATGGATTAAAAGTAAAATGGCTAAATACATTTTAAATTATGATACATAAGTAGCGCTTATATGAACGGTAATTACTATATGTGCAAAGATCTCTCACTCGCTCTTTCTTTCTTTCTCTGAAAAAAAATGTACATGTATATGGAATATATATTTTAATATTAAGACTTCTTATTATTTATTCAAATTTCAGCATTTGTAAATTGCCCAGAAAACAAATATGCAGCAGCTTCAATTTAGTCATGCATAGACATCGTTTTAATCGCTGTTCCTGTGTTCCACAGCAATATGTGCATGTCCAATGTTCCGTATATCAACAAGTTAAATACTTTAACAAAATTATGATTAATTTTACGTACTTAATAGTAAAAATATCATATACCTATTAAAAATATCTGCATCAAAGAACTATATGCGGTATATTGCATATATTTGCCCCCACAAAAGTCAAATTTTGAAAACTTCCTGAAATGAGCTGAATTTAATAAATTGTATGTGAAATATAAATTATCAGAAAATATTATAGTGTCAAAGCAGTATATCTTTACAATTTTTGTTTTTATAACGTCACAAACTAGTCTGATTTTTTATCATGTTTTAGAAACAGGACATAATGGACAAAATTTCAACAATTTTAGCTTTAAAATTTATAGAGCACAAGTTTGTTCAGGAATAACATTGACATATTTCATTGATATTATCATTCTACATATTATATCAAAATATTGATCCTGAACACACATGCGCTCGGTGACTTTTACTCAAAATATCGACAAAATATGTACATTTTTCTGTAAAATTCATAAACAACTGAAATTTACGTCATGTTTGTGACGTCATTATGTACATATGACATCATTACTTATGAAAATATTCAGTGCTTCGAAGTCAGCATATACTCCACTGTTTAAGAACTTAATTAAATATATCTCCATCAAAGTTTGATTTGTGGGGCAGATATTGGTTATTACCGAATAAAGTTCTTTCAGATTTTTGAAACACTTTGAAATTCAATTTTATTTCTTGTTCACAAAATGCAGTCAACAAAATTACTTGCGTGTTTACAATAACGAGACTTTGACGTCGTTTTCTGAGCATTGTGACGTCAAAAGATAAGGGCTTTTTTCTCATGACGGCAGTCAGTTATTTTAGAATGCAAGGGAGTCCAGAGTCCGTGGCAGAGAAAAAAAAGCAATATATATTAATGGCTATCAAATTTCTACTTTAGACTGAATCAAAGCATTATTAATTTCTAGTCATCTTGGAGGCACGACTTATATATATTGCGGAATTACAGGTTGTTAGCTCATCTCAGTTAGCTCATTATTGCTATCTGTTTTCGTTCTTCGCCGTGCGTCGTCCATCGTGCGTTCGTATTTAAACATTTTCAGCTTCCTCTCTACGACCTACCAAACAATTTCAACCAATGCTATCGTATCAATGAATACATCTATTTGGAGATAAAATTGAGAATTCCATGCCCCCCCCCCCCCCCCCCCCGAGCCAGCTGAGGGTTGGGGTGAAATCCACTAAATTTGATGCAATGCTTCTCGTATGCATCAAGCAGTCAAACTGTTAGCATGATTGTAATAAGCAATGGGTCCTTTACAAAAATTGTGAATTTCATGGCCCAAGGATCAGGGGTTCTAATGCTAGGGTTGGGCATTAAAGATTACATGTAAATAGTGAACATGCATTATTTCCATTCTATATATGTTTAACAAGACTGCCTCTTCCGCAATTGTGAAATTCATGGTGTCAGAACGGGTCTTTATTGTTATATAGTGAAAATGCATATTAAATTGCTGGAAAATCTCTGCTCCTGAGTATTAAACAAACTAAGTACACACTTATGATGAGCAGGAGTGCCTCTTTCAGAATTTATGTTGAACAAGACTTTCTCTTCCATAATTATGAATTTCATAGTTATTTGAACGGTTAAGGTCAGACGAGACGTTCCTGAAAATCTGTTTTGTTTATCTTCGAAATGTATGAAAAATTTTCAAAATTTTAATAACATTATGATTTTTAAAGCAGTTTCTAAACGTTTTTAAAACATTCAAACACTTAAAACTTTGAAATTCGAAAATTATTTTTCTTCCCCAAAGGATTATGTAAGAAAAACTACCCCTGGTATCTCGCAGAAATGCCAGGTAAGGTACCTCAAATTTTTGTTAGTAAACATGTTTAAGAAGCAATACTTCAATGACAAACTCTTAGAAAAATTCATCTATTATTAAGGAACGTCTCGTCTGTCCTTAAGAGAACATTTATTCTATAACACAAAATGTACTTTGAAAATTCATAGATTTAATAATATGTAGACTTGTATAAAATAGATGAATAAAAATGAGACAAAAGTAACTTATCTTTCTATATATTCTTCAAAGGTCAACCAGATCAATATGAGGCTTACATTAACAACAGAGAGTTAAATAAATAGTTAATTTGATCGTTAATAGTTTCATAGTAATAGTAATATATGGGGGGAAATGCATGTACATGTAGATACTAAGATCAATTATTTTGTTGACCCTAATCATACAATTTTTCTTGTTTATGGGCAACAAAACTTCATTTATGTACTCCGGTGACCATTAAGGCCCATATTGGCTTCCTATTTTTTCTTAAGTTAGAAAAGTGTGTCATTTCTATTATCAGGTAGAGGAGACAGCAAAGACCCTACTGAGCTAATAAAAATGGCAGCCATTTTGATTGGTAGCGGGGTTGTTTTACTTCTGTTACTCCTTGGTATCCTTTGTTACCTTCGGCGAAAAAAAGATTACGGTATTATGAAAATTGGTGTATATTTATTACACAGCTCATAACAGTTACATGTGTCCTTGACCAATATGTAGTTACAAAAAATTGAGTAGAACGTTTATCAATTACGATCCTTTCCCGACACAAAGGGGGAGTTTCGATAAGGCTGTTTTGCGGTCCCTCGAGAAATGTTATGAAATTGTGATATGTTGTAGATAAATGTCTTATCTTCCTAAAAATATAAAAATAATTTATGCTGCACATTTTTTGGTCACGTGGAAAATCAAAGTTTAAGTATACCCCCTTCCCTTCACTTTAGGAGTAGGCATATTTAAAACGGGATACTGAAGTTTTTTCAACGTCAAATTATAAATGAAATGTGATAAATGTGAATAAAGACATCAAATAACCAATTTCTATATTAATTTTACAGAAAATTAATAAAATGTATTTTATGTGAATTTTTTTTAAATTGCAAGATTTTTCTCGTGTTTTCATTGTAACTTTTCTTTAAAAGAGGGAGAATTTAACTTATAAAACATATATATTCTGTATAGACAGAAACATTTACGAGAGGATTTTACTAACAGTTTATATTTGAACATAATAATCAATTTATAACAGTTTTCCTGTACGTAGGGAAGCAAATGTAAAAAAAAAAATAGACATGTGATAGATCAACTTTGAGTGTAATTAACTAAAGTTATAGCGCAAATTTTATTGTGAAATTATACAGTAATATTATTGAATTTAATTTTAAACCATGCTTTGAAAAACAAATAGATTTTCGTACGATTAAAGAAATGCAAGTACATATTTATATTATTTTAAAAGTATATTCAAAAGAATCGCAGTTGCAATGCTCATTGTATTTTAATGTATCAATAATATTTTTAAAAAGTCAATATATTTAATCAAGATAGTAATTATTAGTCCCCTACCGGTAAAACCAGAGGGACTACAGGTATAGTTTCCGTATCGTCTGTTTAGCTGTCCGTCCCTCTGTCTGTCAGTCTGTCCCATTTGGTTTTCCGCACTTTTCTCTATAATCGTTTGCAAACTTTTATTTGATAAACTTATCTTAAGTATTAATATGATTTTTTCCCCGAAATGCGTGTAAATATTGTGCTAAGATTTGGTAAATGAGTTAACCTCGATCAGTAAGAGATCATATTTGTATTTTGTTTCGCTTCAATGATTTTTTTTTCAGAATTATTAAATTGGAATTTACATGTTTTTTTATATTATTTAAAAAACCAGGTTATACTTGCATGTAGAAAACTATAATGGGTAATGCAACACTAACTCGAATAAATAGCCAGATGATAAAAAAAACACTTAAATAGATTGAGTGTCTCAATTTCATTCTGAATGTTAGAAGTATTTTTTAAAACAACCTAAAGATGCACATTATGTTCTCAGCAACTGAAACTAGGTACTTGCTTTACCAATTTTAGTTACATTTAGTAAGTGCTTGTCCAGATCGCAGTTCAAAATACATTTATAAATGCCAAAGATGTGTTAAATCCAAAATTCTGCAGAAACATATAAATCAATATTGAGTCTTTAAAAAATTTACGTTCCCTACTTAAATATCAACCACACGGAAAAAAAACATAACGAACCTTCTCTAGCAGATTGGATCAAGGGTTTCTATTCGAAAAAAAAGGCTAAATATGATATTTTTTCTGATATATGTTTGATTCAGAACGTTACGGAATGGACTCGTTTTCACTTCTTTCGTTCAATCAGTCAGAAAATATATGTAAGATCTGGCATCTGGACCATTTCTGGTACTGTGCAACCCTTAATGTATCATCGGTGCATGTTTAGTCAACCTTTTACTCTGAGCATTCATCAATGAAATGTAAGTCAGACCCAGCATCCGAACCAAGTCTGGTACTGTGCATCCGAAGATGCATCATGAAGCACGTCTGGTCATCAAGTACTGATAGTGGCATTGCGAAAAAAAAATTTAACTTACTTTAAAAACATTGACCTCGACACATATTAGCTTAAAACACAGCATCTGAAACCCGACAGATGACAAGGAATTTCTTGTCAAGGGACTATATGATATTAAAAAAATATCTGCTTGAAAAATATTTAACTGGACACGCAAATGCCGACGGTATTAAAAAAACTCTCCATGTTCCGTGTAGTTGAACTAAAAATATGACGTTAACATTATATGCTGGCGACGAAATAAGTATGGAAATAAAGACAGTATCCGAAAATGTATTCTATTGTTAATATTTTCGAGAATTATCTTTGATTTTAAAAAATGTGCTAGTTTTGGCTTAGTATTTTAACCTGGTGTATGATCAAGTAACCAGAAGGCTCTAATTTTAGGTATGCAAATTTTAGACAATTTTCAATTTTTGGATATGAAGTGCACACGCGACACTTATCATATTGTAAACTATTAGTGTGCAGGGTATATCTAATAACTGGGCAAAACTAGGTGAGTGTCCCTCATGCACTTCATATTCTAAAAATCGATTTATAAATGGCACCCTCTTATATTTTCCAATAGGCCTAATGTTAACGCATTTGCGGGTACATCTAAGTTTGTGTCGGATAAGGTGAGTTTATCTCATATTAACTTTTGAAATATAAATAACAAAAATTAAGATATTCATCTTAAATTCTAAACTAATTTTGAAAAAATAAATTGAAATTTATTTTTATGAAAATAAGTGGGCCGAGAAACGGCCTTATTGAAACTCCCCCTTTGCTTTATTAAAATCATTTTCTGCAAATCTGACGCAGGGAAGCTACAAACAGTTTGCAGCGATGAATAAAGCTAAAAAAACCAATGACTGTTTGTTATACAAGTCTATTATGTTGGAGATATGTAGCATGCTCAAAGTAAAAAAAATAATAATTCATGGTGTTTTGTCTTGCTGCAGGTCAAAAGCAAACAGTTATAGTTTTTTCTGAATTTGGAAACCTTAATGCTACATTGTGACAAACTTTGTAGAAAGCATTTCTGAAAACATACTTCAAATGTTGCTACTCAGTTTCAACAAACATTTTTTTGTGTTTATTTCAACAATATAACTGCAGCATTTTATTCATTCTATGATCTTTTATGACCATGTAAGCGAAACCTCTTGATTTTATTATTTAAGTTATTATGCATTATTCACTTGAAACTTCATCATAAACATCGTTCTTCAAATTTGTCTATCTTATGATTTTTTAAATATATTTCTTTATTTCAGATGTGCCAGATTTTTTTAACGGACTTCTGATTTATTCCAGTGATAGTAGAAAAACCAATACTTTAGCCAGTGAATTTGCAAAATTCTGCATGAAAAAAATGCAAATACACATTTCTTATCTGAAACCCCAAAATGACATCGTTCTAAAAGATTATACAACATGGTTCAAGAGAGAAATTGAGAGATCAAAGATAATCATCATATTCTGGACTCCAGAGTTTATTCGGGAGCAAGAAGAAGGTGGAATTACTTCCAGCCACTTAAAAACAGGTGTTAATCTAACACTGAATTTAGAACACAACGCCAATAGGAAATTGACATGTGTATATTTTAACAAATCACACAAAACATCCATCCCAAGCGGCCTTTGGTTGACAGCTCGTATATTTTTATTTCCAGAACAACTCTCTCATTTCTGTTCTTATATAAGAAAAAACAAATCAATTCGAAATTACAAAGTTACTAAAGCACTGAGACGCGCTTTTTATGATTTAAATATGAATAATAGTGCAGTCGAAACAGCCAAAGATTGTCACACCATCTCTGTAAGACATATAAATAAAAATGAAATAGAATCTGATGATGAAGATGATGTTATTTTTAATGATCGACAGCATATTTCGTGGAAATCTAAATCGTTTTGGAGGGAAAATCAACCCTTGATGGGAAGTAATGCTTCAATGACCTCGTTTTCCAATTCCCCATATGTTAAAAAGAAAGCAACTTTCATTGAGAACCCATCATTACAAGACAAAAGTAAGAGTCAAATGTCAACTGGAATATCAAAAAGGATACCAGCCATGGTACATGAACGTCCGTCTGATAGCGTTCCTACTCTGAAATTATTTGGATCAGGTACAAACAGTGAGCACAGTTATTCAAGCACAAGTCCTAGCTCTAGTATTTATAGCATATCTAGGCTACAATTAAAGACAATTCCTTCCACTTTGGAAGATAAAGATCTGCCCTCTCAATCTTCAGGTTATGAAGACTGTGAACCTATCAAAACACCACATTCGTCATATGAATCACTGAACTCTTCATGCACTTCAGCTCCACATCTTTATCAAGAATTATTACCAACTACTGAAACAGGGCAAATAAATGTACAAGACTTGGATAGCAAAGAGGCTTATCCCAATGCCAGTGTCAGAAATAGTAAAACTGTTGACGATATTGACGTTTTTCCACACTGTATGAAGTGTTTTAAAGTACCATCCAAGGAAGACAAAACTTCAGAGAGTGACAATAATGATAATTACAGTAAGTGCAGTGAAAGTATAACAAGTTTAGACATTGATACTTGTGAATTTACATAGCATCAGCCCCTAAAACGTACTAATTTCCTGATAAACTGTACCTAGAATACATTTGATTAATATATATCATTAAATTGAATGTTGCTATAAGGGAAATAATTATGTTTTTAAATGGTAGATCTACATGTTCATCTTGAAATGATATAAATTCATTAAATAATTGTACTTGTTAATTGTCTTAGTTTTTTAAAAGTATGATAGTACATCAGAGTTGCATAAGCTGACAAACTGAGAGTCACTACAAAAGATATATTCATTATATTTTGTGAACACTGTTTAGATATATTTACATTCATTGATAAAAACAAGTCACACATCTCTCTGAGTATATCTTTTAAAAGATGAGGATAAAATCTAGATATTACTACGAGCGGTGATGAAAAAGTCAAAAAAGATAGGATATAGGGTTTCAATGTTGAAGGAAATGGAGATCACGAACATTATTTAATACCAAAGTCCACAAAAATTAATACAAAATAGGAGCAGAGCAAACAAGGCCCTCTCAAACATCAGAGGTGGATCAAGTGCCATGGAGGAGTGAGCATTCCCTGCTGACCGGTCACATCCGCTGTGTGCTCCTTGTCATGATCAGGAAATAACGGGAAAATCCGTTGTCAATTCAGTGTATAAGTAATGAACTAATAATCAGTATTAAAAACGTCAATCAGCATTTGACTCAATGATAAATTGTATTTGCTGACAAGGTCATTATATCGACAAAGAACTTAAGAAATGATAACTTTAAGCGAGACTGCTAATATTTTGTTTCATCAACCTGTTTGTCATGAACTTACCTCGCTTGAAAAATTGAACATTCTCTTGCGTATCGAATCAACTGAGATATATAAACACCGTATGCAGGTGATGAAAGTATATTGCTGCATTTAAGTAAGGGAATTATTAAGTTGACGATATAAAAGTTTAAGTCATCCCGTTTATCATATAGCTTGGTTGTTAAATTACCAATAACTTCTTTTTAAGTACAATATCCATGTATGATACAGATATGATAGACTCTGTGGTATCTCCCATCACAAGCTCACAGGATATATCGTATCGACGAAGGAATGGAAATTACCATGATTGTTAATTGACAATGCGTCGTCAATTTAACTAAATGTCGAATTGAATGCCACAGCAAGCGTTTTCTTCTTTTCACGCATAAGATTTTGCACAAATTCTGCTTCATAAGAATACAAAAATAGGTCTGCTTATAACACAATAAGACATGCATGCATGATTTGCATTTAAAAAAAAAAACAAAATTATAGCATCTACAAAACTAAAAATAGATTTGCAATTTATAATTTAAAAAAAAAAATGTTTGCAATCCTTGACTGTTCTGCTTCTTGTGCTAGGGCATTATCACATGATTCACCGGCTTTTTTTTCAATTGCAGATCCTGCTTTTCTCTCTTGCTTTTTAAATTTATTGGGCTGATAGATGGAATATTGAGAGTGGCAAAAATTCTTGAAATGGCTGCCTCACCAATTCCAGTATGAACAAGAGCTGAAAATAATATAAAATTGAATTGGTCCAAGTTTCCTGCACTAATTAAAAAATAAGGAAAAGTGCACATGCATGGAATATATCCTTAAAATGTTTTACATATAAAAAAAATTATAATAACAAAAATACATTTAGTTAGTACTTACCAACTCCAAGTTTAGCATTAATTTGAAAAGATCTTTGGCCATTTTTTTCATCATTCTGTCTACGGCCAGTCGCCACAGATGTAACATCACGACATTCACATTTTATGTAAAAAATACTTGCAAAGCCATATTTTCTCTCCTTCACAATGTTTACAAGATGTCAATAAATGGCTTTTTACACGAGGAACAACCCGTAAACAACATTTCTGCAAGGAACTGTAAGTCAATAATGCGTCTGCCATGCAAAACATATTCACAATCAACTTCTTTGGCGTCTGTTTTAGATTCAGAGCAAGATTTACTTTAGCAAGCTGGTAAACGTGCGTTATCTGACTCACAATCAACACTATTATTGTTCACACCAGTCTCCACATTGTTCTTTTCATTGTTTTGAACCTGCCATTCTTGAATCATTTCCTACCTTCCATCACTAACAACACGCGTTATTTTTCCATCAAAAAAATTCCACAAGGACTACAAAAGTTTCGGTCGGTAAAAACGAATTCTGATAAAAACGGAGAAGAATTTTCTGAGAGATATCTAGCTTATGACTCTTAACTAGATTTTTGAGATTGATAACAGTTTGTTATATTCACTATTTTTTTTTTAGCCTTTTTTAATAATATGATCAAAAGTGATATAATGTTGATTTATCTCAAAACAACATGTGTTCAGCTTAACTCCAACATTATTGCAAGCCACCTGAACCTTATTTACCTTTTTTTTTCATTTTCTTTTCCTAATATTATTTCAACTTGTTATCCAATGCGCACCATACACATATAAACAAGGAAATAATAAAACAAAATGGGTAGGACAAGACACATGTTTTTTATTTCCTGCAGTTTTTCATGTTTGCTGCTATTTTCTTTCTTGCGGTTTGGTACGTACAATTATAAAAGTTTATATTTTAGGATATAATAGTATAGTATAATATATTTTAGCAAGTCCATCTTTCTTCAGTTGCAATGAAGATACATTACATCTTATGATATACCATTTTTGTCATATGCACACTTGATATTATACTCGAATATTAAAATACAAGTTGTTTTTTTTTGTTTTTTTTTCTTCAAATTTTTGCATTTTAAAACTACTACACAGGAAAAATGTCCACATGTGTTGAACATATGTTAAACATGTGTTTAACATATATTTTTTACACATGTAAAACACATAAAAGGAGCACACATGTATAGGGTGTTTATTTTTACACATGTTAAACATATGTTTCACATGTGTTTAACATGTGTAAAAAAAAACACATTGTATATTTCTACATATGAAACATGTGTTAAACATGTGTTTTATATATGTTATACTTTATATGTGAATTATACGTGTATAATATTATTGTTGTACTTATAATCATTTTTATACTTTTTTCATGTCTGTCCACATATGTGAATCATATGAAAAGGGCAGCATATGTAAATCATATGAAATAGTTACATGTGTTCTCTTTCAATATTTATCACAAGGAAAAACACATTCTTGTACACATTTAAAAATCAGATATTTCTGCTTCAGTGAAAATCCATTACATTCCAATGATCTATCTTCATGGGTTAAATATTTGAAAATTAATATCTTAAAATGCTTACACAACTTTTTTGATAAATTATTTTCATCAAGAGAAATAACTTATTTTTCAGTGTACTTTCTAAACAGGAAAGTATACAAACAAGTCAGTAGCATTTGTCAATACATATATTTTACATATTCTAAGTTGAGTACAATTATAAGATTTCCACAAAATGATTAAATAGTTAAACTCGCATACATGTACAAATAAATAACATAATTAGTCCAAGTACTTTTTTATAATTTATATGATTTGACATGAAAGTGTCCAAGGCAAAATTGAAATATCACATATAACATTTGTCATGTATTCTCTAATGTAAATTTATGAAAAATCAAGTTATTTGATATTACAGCATACAAATAAGAATGGGAATTAAATCTTTACAGGTCAAATGCAGACAAGATTGTGTACATCCTCCCAATTTCATAATTATTTCATATATTTTCTTGTTCTTTTTCCTTCTGTATCTTTCAGTTTTCTTCAGTTGTCCTCCCTCTGATCTGACCATTGTGAACTCTCTTTGAACTGTACCCAAAATGCAAATCCACCATTTCTCCTTTTCCTGAACAATTTCTTTGTGGCACAGAATGGTCTCTACAAAAATTTCAAAAGTAAAAATAAAACAATTGACTGCCGTCACGAGAAAAGGGCCCTTAAGGTCAAATTTTCATTAATTCACTTTTAGGCAAATTTTGATCGCCGGACTCTTTCTGAATGCACATAAATTTTGAAAATATCTCGCTTTTTCACTATTTCATGAGCATTTTAGTAAAGCTAATCAACACAACTTTGACGTTACTCACTGAAAACGTAATGACGTCGACTGCGTCTAATACAGTTTCCAAAAATTGTATTAGAATAACGCTCTTTAAATTAACTCAATCGTTTTGAGAATTATAAACTTGAGAAAATATTTTTTTTCTTCCAGGCGACTAGTATGTGACTATTCCTAAGGGATTTCGTATGTTACAAGTATTTTCATACTATTTTAGTACAAATCTAGTAATATCGTAAAGGGGGTGTGTGGGTCTAGACAAAATCTAGGAAAGGTTTATAATTTATTCAGTAGGAAAAAATATACTTATTTAAATCCATACGAATTATTCTTGTGATATAAAATAATCTTCTCAATTTATAATATATAAAAAGCACTTGTGACACTTAAACATTAAAAGGAATAGAGAGAATCCCGGGACATTCCCTCGCAAAAAAGCACTTCGATCCCGACATTAAACAGAAAATAATTTTCTTATCAGTCATCAAAATTCATAATTCACTCACCATCACACACACACGTCATTTTTTTTTACATAACTATTACGATAGGATCAAAACACCATATATTTTCTGTATCACCGAAAAATGAGATGTAAATGCAGATACGCCAAGATATGTAAACTTGTTTTTTACAATGTTTATTCCATTTATAAAAAATATGAATGCATGAATTGAATTCATGTTCGCTACATCCATGCAAGCGGATTTTTTTAAAGTTTACTTTTTTTTGAATATTTTGTTAAAATGTTTAAAGCTCTTACCTTCAATTGTTAATAGAAATCATTTTCTTCCCCTGTCTTAGTTATGGTGTAAAAATATAATAAAGAGGCAAATGATGTCAAAGGATTGTCTTATGAATGGTTTTTATACCGTACCTTACATTGAAACTTTCTTTGAACTTATTCCTAAAATTGAAATTGTACTACAACTTCTTCTTTTTAAAGTAAATCACGATTAAAATCGGTTCCAAATATTTCTGCACATTCACCCTTTTTTTTTAATTTTCAGGCACCTTTAATCTGTTTCATTTAAACATAACATTAAATTTTGTTGTTATTTTTAATGCCAGGAAAGGTAATCTTTAATCTTCCTCCGTGACATTGGCTAAT